TCAGATAAGGCACCTTACCTTTTTCCTGGCATCTATTTCTGTTCCTTTCTCATCGAGGTGCCACTGTCACCATTCTTCCAATATTAGTTGGACTGTGACTTTTCTATATATTACTTTTGCTTACAGTGGTATGTCCCCTTTAGGTCTAGAGTACCATTCAGTAGCAAGCATTGCCTGTCCAGGTATGTTACTTATCTATCCATTTCAAAAATCCACACTGTACAGCCTACCATAAGTTGTACTGGGGTCTATTATCTGCTGCCTAGTGACTCAGTATCTCCACCTCTGAGTAGTGAGTCCCAGAGGTTGATGTTGTGTGGTTCCGGCTCTTATCATCCTGTGGACTGTGGTTGCTCGGTGTATCTGCTGGTCATACATGTATTCCAGCCTACGTGTGGTCCTATCTGGTGGATAATGTTGCACGACTTACACACAGCTACTCCTGACATTGTCTCAATGGGTTGGGCCCTAGAGGTAGCTTGAAGAGGTTTGAATGGGATGTCCCACCAAAGTTGTCATCGAGTGGAGGCTAATCTCACCAATCTCGATGTATATCAAAGGCCAGTAATGCACACTGTCATGATAGGGTGTTCCACAAGATTGCTAGTAGGTTTTCCTTGCAATATTTTGCTTCATCCACATGCCCTTTCCAGACTATACTAACCCATAGACTTTCATGGGTAAAGCAGAAGGAAATTGCTGCCCATCCCTGTTGTCTCTTCAATTGAATAAATCAGGGATGGTTTACTTTTGAAAATAGGGTTTTCTTGGCCACCTTTTGCACTGTCTGTGGTATTGGCATTCCTCTGGACTCTGCACTGTGTTTCTACCCCACTTTCTTCTTGTGGAGTATGAGAGTCCTTGCCACTTCCAATTCCTAGCCATGTGGTGGTGGACCATGGAGGTAACCTCATGAAGGTGCTCACTTCCATTCAGTAGAGAGTAAGACAGTGGGGTTCTGCTGGTGTAAATGGCATAGATCCTCCATTTGTGCACTCCGTGAGGTGGGTCCCGGAGGTTGATGTTGTATATCCTGTCTGGAGATGATGTTGTGCATTTAACACAATAGTATATTCCATTAATTCGAGTACCTTCACCATGTTGCAGTTCACCCTTCTGATTGGGATCCTTCATTCTACCATCAACTGGATTTAAATTCCCAGTAAGTGGTTTTGGATTTGAGCAGGACCAGTCATGTTGATAAATCCTCACGTGTTGATCATGATTCCTCATCTTACCTTGGTAACAGGTTTTTGCCTCATGCACTCCACCTCTATGCAGTGGGTCCTGGAGGTTGATGTTGCATGAATCTGGTTCAATTTGTCTCAGTTCTGTAGTTGCTCAAGGTGTCGGCTGGTCATCCATGTACGCCGTCTTCTGTGTGGTACTATCCGGAGGATGATGATGTGTAGGGCAAATGTTGTCTCTCTGGCATTCCACCTCAGGTAGGTTCACTACCTGAGGCAGATGTTGTGCAGAGTAGTACTGGTCAAATTGGTTTTGGATTTGAAGTGAACAACTGCATTGGCACATCCCTTCCCACCATTATTCGGATGTCAGGTTCCTGGATGATTGATGTTGGTTGTGTATTTACACACATGTGCCATGTTAAGTCGACTGGTATGGACCCTTCTCCTGCCATAGGTCACAATATGTATGTCTGATGCCACCTGATTTTGGACTGGAGTTGACCTGTCAAGTACAGTCTGATTCACCCTTGCCACTCTACACCAAGGGCATATCCATTTCAGCTTTCATTACAATCTGATATGTGGCTGAGGACACGACATTCATTCTTATTCTGAACTACAATTTCAGTGGGTGGTGGGGTTAGGACCACCGATTTTTTCTCTCAATCGTTGGATGTGCTCTTCTTTATTTCCAACACACTGGGTGAAGAGCATACCTGGTACAGAAGTGGTGCAGTCTTCCATGTGGGTTCCTATATCAACAGGGGTTCGCACTTCAAGGGTGATCTTTGGATGCTTTCAAAGGATGTTTATTTATATCCCTTGCCCTGGTCCCTCCACCTATTCAATGTGGGATTCTAGCTATTATGTGAGAGGAAGAAAATTATTATTTTCCAACACTGAAAATATATTTCCGATAGGTACATACTTCTTATATTCTCACACTTCCCACTCTTCCTCCTCTTAAAACCAGTGCTTAATTTATGGTTAATCTTGAAGTGATGGTTAGGTAGAATTAAATAGAGGGAGTCACGTCATTAGAAGGATGTATTGTACTCCTGTTGGTGGGTGTCTCATGATGATCTACACGCGAAGATGCAGTGAATCACGTTGATCGTGGATTAGGTGAGAGTTTCAAGGCTTATGGCATGCAAAGCAATTTTGCATATAGAGGGCAGCACTGAATAGTTATTATATAAGAGGAGGTAAGTATCTCTAATAAATATTTTTTCAGTGTTGGAAAATCATAACATTAAATTGTTTGCATCCAAACTCAACAGAATTTTTGTTAATTTTTGACTAAAAACATGTAACGATTGATGTTTAAGATCATGGGTGGCAAATGGTATAAGAGGCTGGTGTGATGATGTTTTTAATTATGCTAGGCAATCCACTGATTTTCCAACTAATCAGCTATTTAAGGAATACTTAATTTTAATATTGAAAACTATATAGTTACTGCATTGTTTAAAGCATTGCTTTGCCAAACTATGCAAACTTTCACATCAGAGGACACATGAGTCACCAATTTGTCACACTAAGTTTACTCTCAAATAGGAGATCATTACCTGAGAAGGTATCTTATGTATCAGAATTCTATGGTGTTGTTGGGGATTGGATCAGGATTTGGAAATAATGAAAACAATCTAGAGCAAGAAATTTAAAGAGTATATTAAAAACTTGTATAACTACACCAGAAACATAATATATATATCACATGGAAAAATGTTAAGCATAATAATATATAGGAGTACTGAGATATAATTTGTTTTATTATACATGTCTTAAACAATTGAAATGATACTGAAATATTTTTATTATAATAGTTATTCTCAGAGAGGCTCTGTATTTATGACAGGAAAATGTCTGGAATTTTTCTTTTAAATAATATTTAACCATTAGTTTAAAAAGTAAATAAAAATAATTTACTGAAAATTAATCAAAATTAACTAAGCTCTAGGTATAGCTATAGCAATTTGCAAAACAAGGTTGGATTTGTTTGCCAAACAAAGTGTTTTTACATGTATGTTAAAGTTGTTACTGAGCAAATAAAGAAATGTATTTCTCATTGTTTAAGGGTAGTGAGATGAAAGATTAGTATTCAGCTATGGTAAATATAACTTCTTAGTATATGTACATCTTTCACAAATAAAAAAAAATAATTGCTAAGGGAAGAACTTGAGCTTCCGAAGCCCTCTACTTTGTTGTACGTATGCTTCGAGTAATGTAACTTGCTATGTTTATAGTATGTAATAAGTAAGGAATATGATAAATTAAAGCTACACTATTGTTTAGTTAAAATAAGGTAAATACAAACAACAGGCATCACTGTGCTACACCCTCATATATAGTAAGCTGTGTACAAAAGTAACACGTGCATAATGTTGTACCAACAGAAATATTACTAACTTATTGTGTTATGTGCGATTTCAGTTGGTATGTATCTGAAGCTGAACAAGTTTGTTTGAGTTATGGCAAAATTACTGAGACTTTCATTATAATCACTAATTTTGAATTGTCAACCAGGAAAAAGGCAACTGGCTGACAGCATTCCCTACCAACTCTTGGGCTACCAAACATATCTCCCCTTTCAGTCATAAGGACATTATAATTTCATGGTCAATTTCATTGTTCATTGGTGAAGGGTTTGCCCAAGAGTTGATGGTGAGTGCTGCTCATTGGTTGCCTTCCCTCTGGTCTGCTTTTCAAAGTTAGAGACAGTGGCCAACCTTAGTAGCTTTGCTATAATTTAAAAACTATACCCCTACAGTTGAAAGAGAGAACATGTTTGGTGGCAACAGGTATCAAAACTGAGGCCCTCGAATCATGAAGCAATCCTTCTAATCACCAAAGCTGAACAAACTTGAATTCATCAAAAATAATAATTAGAAATCACATGGCAATATTTTGATTACTTGAATAGTAAAAACAGTAATAAGCAGAAACATCTATTTCAGTTACTTCATGACATTAAATGATTTAATAAGAATTTTGATTAAACAGTTATTTTATGTGACACTAATGGATGTAACCATTGCTCGTAGGTAATAAAGTTAATCACCCAGCTAGTCATTTATAATCTACCTTCAAGCTCTTAGCCAAGGAAATATTTGATTTAGCCTAATATCCATTAAAACTTTTTAAATTTACAGTTTTTCTTGGATTCTCCAATATGATCAGAAATTTTGCTAAAGAAGCTAATGCCAGAGCATGATGAAACAAGTTGCTACAAACTGGAGCTTTGATTCCAACTTACTTCCATGACTTCAGTACCAGTTATTGAATATACCATTGCTTTATTTACATAACCATTCTCTTGGACAATAAATCTAAAATTGTCATAATGTGTTATAAATTATTTTTGTTCAGATTGAAAAATTGATACAGGATGGGCAAAAAATCTGGGCATTGTCCTCAAATAAAGATAGTGTACATGAAAGAAAGAATTTATTGCATATTGACACAGACTAACAAAAGGTGTGATTAATAATCCAAAATGTCTGTCTGTTGGCCTTCATATTCATGACATATGATGATACATCTCCATGTGCGATGTGACATAATTCTTAGGATATAAGGGGTTATATTTTTGTTTCAAAGCATGAATTTTTTATATCGTTCCTACATCATTACTGAAATGTGAAAAACTAAATTGTTAACATGAGCTTTAAGTAAAGGGATGCCCAGATTTTTTACCCACCCTATACATTAAATTTTTTTACTGACGCCTGTATAAAGTTTGAGGTGTTTCCTCTATGTTAAAAAGCATTTTGTGAAGTCTTGTTTCACCTATTGTGTTGAATGTTTCAGTACTAAGGGAGAGTCCTTATATCAGGTTCTTGAGGTTTCCAAAGGTGCTACATCGGAAGACATCAAGAAGTCATACAGAAGGGTTTGTAATATGCTTTATACTTGCATATACACATACATACATACATATACATGTTCTTGATGTATAGTTTGGTTTCTATAATGAATTAGAAGATGCTGTAGCTCACATAGAAACATTTTAGTCAGATTTGCTTCTGGTAATAAAATGTTTAGAGAAGTTACTTCTCTTTACATTTTGTTTTCATTCCCTATCTGTTTTTATTTTATTTTTTAATATCTAACTATAATTTATTACTTAATAGGTTTCAAAGATATTTTAATATTTTCCATGCTTGATTTTGCCAGAGAACCATCTTTTGGCTATTATCCAAATTAAATCCAGTAACATAGGTGAATCGTTTCTTCATTAATAAATCAAACCATTAAAAATATAAAGGATTTCTATTAAATAGTATTAGTAAGGTACTCATGCATGGAGAAAAAGTAAAAACTGTAATATACACTTTATATTAAAATTATCATTAACGACTTGTACAACTAAAAATAATTTTAAATTTAATTACATTATTTAAATAGTTTATTTTTTGTAAAAATTGTTGATATATTTTTGTTTACAGTTAGCTCTTAGGTATCATCCAGATAAAAATCCTGATAATCCTGAAACAGCTGAAAAGGTATATATTTTATTTTACTCTAATTATTCAGAATTTATTAGGAAATTTTGGTGTTGTGATGTATCTAATGTAAAAAAAAATCACTTTTATTGTAATATCATGATTTAAGATAAAATGTTTTAGTAAACTATGTTGTGTATTTTGAATTTATTATTGTATCATTGCTTGTTTTCTACATTTTCTTATACGGTAAATACTCTTTGAATTAATTAATAAAACTGCTTGAATATTATATTATTAAATTTGTACGTGCTCTCGTATAAAACATAAATTTAATCATTGGGTCCAACTATATGTCTCCATTACATACCTGTAGTGTGGGACAGTGGCTAATATGTTCTGTATCTCATATTCCCAGGGAATGTACAAAAAAAATATACATGATACTTTTTTTTTACAAAGTCACAAAACATTTTGGTGCTGGAAGGTCAACATTATGTTATGTGAGGCACTTAGTGTTAGGAATTCTGAAAGAAAAGGAAAGAGGAATATTGAATTTGATCTGAAGGGCCTAAGTAGAAATAAAGAAAGTTTAAAATCAAATCTAGTCAAAGTTACATGTTTCAAGACGGGTGGAAAGTTGAATTTATGTGTGTGTGCCACTGTGTTATCATTTATCAAGCTTAAGAATGGGATTGCAGAACCTTTTGAGAATTTAGCAAAAAAATAAATATACTTATATACTCACACATACACACACCTATATTTTTTGTTTTTTATTTTTAGTTTAAAGAAATCAACTTTGCTAATACAGTCTTGTCTGATCCAGAGAAAAGGGAAATATATGACTCATACGGATCTCTAGGCCTCTATATTGCTGATAATATTGGAAGAGAGAATGTAAAATATTATTTCTTGCTAACCAGCAATTGGTTCAAGGTAAGAAAGTAGGTAACTTATAATTAGTATAAATAAACCTAAAGTAATTAAGTGCTAAGGTTATTTTATATGAAATTATTCATTGTAGTTGACGTCTGATCTTTTTAGAATATTTTGAAAACATTATTAAGTGTGGTATGTAGTTGTAAATGTGATAAAGTTATTTGAATTATTTGGTTATATACTACTCTTTAGAGCATTATAAAACTGTATTTTCCATTCACAGTTTAATATATTATGAAGAATGTGTTGTTCAAGGTGGAGAAATACAAAACTACAATAAAAAGCAGTGTTTCACTAGTGTGTCAATGATATATATATTTCAGGAAGTTTATGTTATTACTTTTTTAAGATGTACATTTTCTGAAAGTTTATGCATAGTTAAATTGTAAAAATTATCTTGATATAGTATCTGTGTGGAACAAGTTTTCAGTTTATATTGATCTGTGTGAATGAACTTGTACATTATGTTTTAGTGTATACAGACTTCAACATATTTCTTTGCATGTAATGCAGTCTTATTTGGTAGTAAGGTTCATGTCTTATCGTGTTAGATTAAAGATTTAAGTAGTTGTTTATAATAATATTTGACTGTTTAAAAATAAAGCTGATAAAATATTTTTAGATGTCATGTGGAGGAGGCAAAGTCTAATTGTTAGTAATAAAATTGATTTTGTAAATAGGTTTTACTGGCATGCTGTGCAGTTTTCACTTGCTGTTGCTGTTGCTGCTGTTGTAACTGTTGCTGTGGAAAGTGCAAAGCAAATGTTGCAGAAGAACCTGATGATACAAATGACATAGAGGTAAAAGTTTCATATTAAAATGTAGAAAAAAATGTAAGTTGTGTCTTGAATGTTTCACACAAACAAGAACTAAAATATTCTTATTTGTGAACTTAAGAAATTAATACTACTTTGATTGTTCTTACTATTTCATTCAGGGTTTGCAATTGATACTGGCAGGACTTGGCATCCAGTACCGGTACCGGGCCAGCTGTACCAGTACTGGTTTATAGTATATATGTTGAGAATAATATCTGTTATCACATGTCCCATCTTAGGGGGTTTTACTGAATGCCTCTTCTGGTATTTCGTCTTTGCTTTTCACAAAATTATAAATGTTTGATTTGGTAGTTTTGAGTTCATACTTCAGTCGATAAGCAAACCTCACCATAAAAATTGGCAATAGCATGAAATATGGAGAACTGATGACTCCCACACTCTGGAAGAGAACGTGAAGGTGCCTACATGATTGATTACACGATAGGTAGGTGCGTGCATGCGTGATTAACCCTTAGCATGCAGGCAGGTAAAACTGTGCATGTCACAATGTTTTAGTGAGTTACCTTCAAAATTTAATTAAATTACTTAATTATCATAGTATATGAACAAACATGACATCAAACTATAGATAATAATTCCAATTTTAATATTATATAAGTTTTAAGTTTTAATTATATAAGGAAATATTTAAAAACAACCTCAAATTCCCCTAGTGTGAGAATTTGGATATTTGTTCTTGAACAGTCTCCTTTTCTGTATATTTTTGTCCAACTTCTAGGAAACTATGAAATATAAAATAAAATATTCTCTATAATTTCATCATCGATATTCTGAAGCTGTATTTTTATATTCTTCAATCTTATGGGGCTAAAGAGCAATCAATGAAAATTCAGAAACTACTTTCCACGCCAACCTCTGACATGTTCCAATTTACAATTTGCTAATAGATTTTTCTGAGGCCGACTCCCATTCAATTTATAACCAATAGAAAGCCTAGATTTCAACTGATTCATTGCCATCGTCATCATACCACATGGGCTTACAGACAATTGACAATTTGGTTTGATATGAAATAGAATTTTCCCACGAGAACACATTAGGAAGAATAGTTGAATTTCTCACTGCTGAAGTCACATGATTAAAGATGCTCGAGTACAGGTACTGGCAACCTGATACCACTGGTACTATTGCAAACCCTGATCTTGTTGCAAAAAATAAATTTTTTAAGAATTAAATATGTGATATCAGCAACCTAGAAATAAATATTACTAAAATAGCTAGCCCATAGTGATATCTTATTAACACTTTATACAGTTTAGAAAATAATTCACAGATACTTAGTAATGAATGTTACTCCATTTGCAGCATTTTGCAGTTCTTCATTTATATTTTAATTAAAATTAAGATATTAATCATTTTGCTACTTTGGCTCATTATCTGAATGTGAATTTGCATGCATAAAAAGATTGAATTATGAGAAAATATGAAAAGATACACAAACCTCAAAATAATGTTTACAAAATCCCTTTTATGTTGTTAAATGATTTCTAGCTTTATAGTTTTTCTTTGTTTCTTAATGTTAACTATAGTCTGTTTCTCATATTTCACTAATCTTGAAACTAGTTTTTTACTGTGATACAAATGCTGTATTTTACATTGTAAGTCTTGATTGCAAAAGTAATTGTAATTTTGATAAGTCTTTCTGAAACTCATATTGGTGTTCACAACTAAAACAAGAGAACAGCTTTTATTTTACTGCGCATTAATCCACATGCAGTACTTTATGATTGTATTGCTTTCATATGTGTCTTCTTCAGGTGGAATCTGTAGGTGATGCTTCAGGCGATGAGAATGTTTTTATTTCAGAAAATAGAAAGGTGAGAAGCATAAATTCCCCTTGTTTTCAGTTGTATTTTCTTCTTTTCTGTGTAGTTATTCCATTCCTAAGGTGTATAATTCTCATTCCTGATATATCTTGTGGTTTGCTTTTTTTACTGTTCGAAAAATTTAACCCTTAAGTACTTGCTTAATCTTTACTTACATTTAAATTCATTTGTCATTTATTGCTAATTTCTGTATATTTCAAAAGTAAATCAGCTGAAATATGCTTTTTTTCACACACACATTATATTAATTGTTAAAGTAAGTAGTAATTGTACATAATAAGAAATGTAAATTATTATGTTACATTCTATGAAGTGTCTTGGAATACATATAGTTGCTACAAACTATTTTATAACATGTAGAATTGGAGTATTTCTTTAAAGGTCCTCTTTCAGTATTTGAATCATGTTACTCGATACAAAGTATATTGGAACATGTAGAGTTGGAGTATTTCTTTGAAGGTCCTCCATCAGTATTTGAATCGCATTACTTTATACAAAGTGTCTTAAAACATGTGGAGTTGGAAAATTTATTTGATGGTCCTCTGTCAGTATTTGAACTAATGTTGCTTATTACAAAATATATTGGAACCTGTAGAGTTGGAATATTTCTTTGAATGTTCTCTGTCAGTATTTGAACATGACTGTACACAATTCATGAATATTTACTCTTGGGAATTGTACTGTAATCACCATACTGTGAACTTTACTACAATGCTGCACTTTGAAGTGTTGCTATAACTTATTTGTTCTAGAAAAGCAAGGGTACACCAGGCCCCATAGCTTTCAAAAATTGTATTTAACTTCATCTCTTGGGTTATATGAGCATGACATATAGATATGTCCATGAAGTATTTTCTGCCAACAAGAAAACATTATTTAGTTTACTAATTTGCGTAAGTCCTCATAACCTATATATATATACATGTAGCAAAATTCTATTATCTCCATGTAAAATACTTAAATAATGGAATTGATAGTAGATTCATTATCTATACTATTTAAATGGAAAGAATTTGTTCTATGGGCATTACACTCAGACTACCACAACAGAAAATGATTGGATACAGATTTGATGCATACAGTTGTTTATAATATCTCTCGTTCCTTTTCAAGTTAAGTCACCAGAGGAAAAAAAAATATTTTGCAGACTTAATAGATTGGGAGCCATTATTATGTCATTAGTTTCCATATAAATTTTTACTACATTTATTTTAGTAAAATGTTGTAAGTTTTTCTTGTTTGTAACTTCACTTTTGGTATCTGTGCAGTATACTGTGATGTAGCACTCTTTTTTTTCCATACCATTATTTGTGTTATCTGAAACTTGGACATTCAAAACACTCAACCAGTGTTGCTCATCTGCTTCTGGAATATTCTAACAACTAATAATAAAAATTTTTGAGTGAAAAGAGATTTTGGTACCAAGACTTGAACTTGAGATCTCTAATTAACATGACCAATGTTCTAGCCACTAAGCTACTCAAGTCAGTGTTCATTTATAAAGATATTCTACTGGGGAATTCTTAAGCTGTGTTGCATACAACAAGATTAATGTTTCTTTTAGAAAGCAATAAAATTTAAAGAGATCAATAATTTATTTAAAAATATCTAATTTTATGATTTAATAGTATGATAGTGTTCTTCCCAGTTCATATGAACCAGAAAGAGATCAACCAATGAAGAAATTGTTAGATGGGTAGGCTTTAAATTTAGCACACTGTATGTTATAAATTAAATTGGTACAGGAGATGGCATTATAGCAAATAAATTCTGTTTTATACTGATCTCATTTGATTTTTTCTTTCAAACTAGTTCACTAGATTAAAACATAACACATCAGTGTTTAATTTACATTTTTTATGCAATATGTCTTTGTGATTGGTATTTCTTATTATTTGTATTTTAATTAGTTTTCTTGATTTTTTCTTAAAATTCACATTAAAGATTACTTTCTTCATTACTTATTTTATACTTTTCTAAAAACATACAAAGAAGATTTCACTTAGATATGGCAGATGTTTTCTCTGTGATTTTATGATAACCAAATTGCACACATTTGTTAATGTGACTTACAAAAAGCTTGTTGGCTTTATTAGGCTTCAGATGCTTTAAGTACTTTTGGACAAATATGCACAAATGGTAGCAATTGAAATTCCTTGTTTTTTATGTCGTTCAGTTAGAGTAAGTGTTACATGTAATCCTTGGGTAAATATCAAAAGAGTGTGTGCTTTTATAGCTTTTAAAATATTTACAGGTTCAACAAAGGGAATGTTGTTTTTTAAATCATGTAAAAATCTACTTGTTTAAAGTTAAATCTTCATCTTCACTAGACTTAATTATTACAGTAAAATTATTTTTCTGCGTGCTATCATTTTATCTGAAAAACATATGATTAATATTTTAGAGTTATTTATAAGTATTCCTGAAAACAAAAATTCTGCAAGTTTTACTGCTGTGTACATATCATGGAATTGACAATATTTCATAGTTATATTATGAAAACACTAAACCAGTGCTATAATTTGGTCTTAATTTACTAACAGTTATAAAATGAAACATACCAAAATTATATTGTTACCATTTATTTCCCAATTAGTGATAGTAGTATAAACCTGTAAGTAAAAGAGGAGTACCTTACTGAAAGAAATTGACAATTTTTAATTTCAAGGTGAAAAACCATATATATATATATATAGTAAAGTAAATGTTGCTGAGGAAAGTGATTAATAAAAATCAGACAATAATAAAATGTTAAGAACTGTTATTGTTAATTAAAAACAAATAAAAACACACATGCATAAAAGCATAAATACTGGTGTCACATCTTCCAGGATACTCTTCAGTTTCTGCGATAAGGCTCTCTCTAACAAGACCTACTTAACAATGTAAAATTTCCTGCATTTTTTGTCTTAAAACTTTATATTTTTAAACTCCCTCTATATGTTAAACTATGTGACATTTAATATGGCTTTAAATTTATTAATAAAATAATTTTCATGAAATAATCTTTTTTTTTTCTCGCAAGAATACCAATATGGAAATATTTTGGAAAATGATATTTTACCATGATACACTTATTAATATATTTTATTAACAGATAATGCACTATTATTTGCATTTTGACATAAGATTTATGTAAATTTATTTTTAAACATAAGTTTTCTGTTTCTCCAACATATATTTGCTTATGACAAATAAAAGATAATATACAAGTAACATTATGTGAATTACAGCTAAATATAGAGTTTATAAGAATATTATTTTCTCCCCATTAGGGTCTGTAGTATATTTAGTGAATGCAATATAACCTTTCTCACAAAAATATTAGTTTGGTTTATTGCAAGGAGGCCCGGCATGTCCAGGTAGTTAGGGAGCTCAACTTGCAATCTGAGGGTCGTGGGTTTGAATCCCCGTCACAACAAACATGCTCGCCCTTTCAGCCATGGGGGGCATTATAATGTGATGGTCAATCCCAATATAATTTGGTGAAAGAGTTGGCGGTGGGTGGTGATGACTAGCTGCCTTCCCTCTAGTTTTACACTGCTAAATTAGGGATGGCTAGCACAAATAGCTCTCATGTAGCTTTGTGCAAAATTCAAAACAAACAAACATTGATGGAGACAAATTGATTAGCCTTGAGATACTCAAAACAGTTCCTATGAATTTTGAACATTTATCTTGAATAATATGAAAATTTTATAATGTAGTTATAAGTTAAAACTATGCAATTGTACACTTAATTATCGTAGGGTAAGAAAATAATCTCATTGTGCTAAAACTTTTTTACTATAAGCACATTCTTCCATATTTTGAATAAGTTAAAAACAAATTTACTCACTTAAATAAAAATTATTAAAGTTTTCATATCGAGAAAAGGGAATTTCATCAGTGAGATTACTAGAATTATTTATGGTATGAGCCCTTGCATCAAGTTAAAGTGAGTACTTTACAATTGACAGATTTTATGAAAGTGTCAACATTGTGTTATAGGCATTTTAAATGGCAAGAATATTTGGTCTGAAAGATTTTCTAGGCTACTAGTATAATGACTTATCAAAATGCTATACCATTATTTGATGCAAAGGTGGTCACTAACTTTATGTTTTGCTTATGTATACTGAAATTTTTAATGTAATGCTTAAATAAAATCAGAGATAAGGATTAATCTTAAAATGTATTTCCTGAAATTAAATTGGTTCACATGTGAAATGACACTTTTAAAAAATGATTTTATGCACTCTAAGACACAAGGCACACTAAATATCTAATATATGATGAAAATTGTTAAAACATTATTTAAAATAAATGTATCACTTTATATTAATACCAAACCCACCTGCAGGCTATTCATAGAGATTAAAATATTTATTTAGAATAACCAAAATGAGAGAATAAATATGGGGTAAAAGCTACCACTTGGGGAGATTGAAAGTTGTATTGTTATATAGGTACATTCTTTTGAGTTAATTGTAAATGAAGGTAATTTTCATTTATAATGCACTTAATATTTAATAGTTTTAAGAAAGTTTAAAAATAGATACAAATTACTTAAGCACCTTAAAATTATGATATATTTATAATCATTATAGTATGATAGAGGAGTATAAGCAGATAAAAGTACATATAAGGTTGAAGACGGTAATAATTTTTAGAATATTTGTTTGATAATCATTAACTTTTTTTTTTTATGAAAATT